AAAACCTGAAGTTGTTTTTCAAGATAAGCAAGGATGACTCCGCCGATGATTCCTCGGATTCCGCCTCCGTCAAGGCTGAGGATGGTTACGAGTGTTCCGCACGATGGCGGATTGTTTTGCTTGCACGGCGACTCATTTTCCATTATGGTTGATCGATCTTCTTTTCGGTTAGAAGATTACAAATGGAATATGGTGAAAATATTTTGATGTAAAGGAAAGATACAATGTCGTGTTTTCTTGTATGTGTTATATATATGCATAATTTCACGTGTCGAGTATTCTAAATAATATTTTTTTCTGGTCAGACTTTTCTTCATAAATACATTTCGTGCTAATGAGGATTGTAATTAACATATTTATCTTTGGAATAAGATCAATTATACTAAGGGTGCAATATTAATATCGTCGAGCTTGAGCTGTCATAAGCTTTTGTTTACGAGAAATAATTGCAATAGATAATTTTAAAAATTAAGATTCTAATATTTTATTTCGTGGACTTTGCATTAATTAAACAAACAGGCGAAATGAGATCTGCATATCCCCACAAGTTAAAAAAACGAATGAATTCTGCATATCTCCACACTCGATCCACTACAATCCAGATTTTTTCTAACGACAACTGTCAATTAATTGAGAAGATGATCTAAAAAATTACCTTTTGTTGCTATCCCTTTTTTTAGGAAGTTTTTCTTCTACTGTTTAATCAAATTCACCTTGAATTTTATAACTGTTATTTATTTTAAAAGTATATATATTTAATTAATGCCACTAATTGAAAAATTTAGATGTCACGAATTATGACTAGTGACCTATATTTGGTTTGCTTGGAGCTTAGTTTGCTTTTTCAATTATTTCTATACATTAGACCTAATATTTTTAAAATATTTTATTTCAAACTATATATTTTATTAAACAAACTGTAAAAGTATTCACAGAAGAAGAAAAATCAACAAAGGCGTAAAGACAAAAAAATTCTCAAAAAAAAAAAAAACTAAAGACAAAAATCAAACATACGGGTTTATATCTTCTTTATATTATTGATTTTTTAATGATCAGTTTGATGAATCCATTATTTATCAATCATTGTCTTGCTTCTTTCGTTCCTTATTTTTCTTTCATTCGAGAGAATTTTCGCAAACCTGCATTAACAAATATCAAACAATCAAATTACTTGCCATCCAAGAACCCATCAACAAACTTTAAAATTTATAATTAAAGTATTAATCACCTTCTGAGTTCTTGATCATTGGTGACATTTTCAGGAATTGGTTCATATACACCAGTGTCGATGTTCATTTGCACGACTCTGTTTGTCAGCATCTTCTCTCCAACCTTTACAAGATTTTCTAAGTTAGGCTTTGTCGCTATATCCAGTGAGCTTACATCTCCTTCCAGTGTACCATCCTGCCATCGATTTTCACACATAAAAGCTCGTAAACAAACGATCAATCACAATTTTTTTTTTTTGACATATATGTGTTTAGTTATAGCTCTTACGTCAATTCTAAGGTACTTATCTTCGGATTGTAGAGCTTTGAACAGGACAGAGCTATGGAAATGGATCATGTCGCTGCTTGATTCCATGATAGTGTCTATCATCGGAGTAGATCCATGGTCATATACCCAAGGTATGATTCCCCATTTTGCAGCTTTTTTTGCGCTGTACTTCTTCTTATTTTTTGCAGAACCTGTTCCTACCGATATAACGAGGAACTTATCGTAGCCTAACGGCTTGAGCTTGCCCATATCAGGATTGTTCTTAACAATCTGCTTAGACACAGCAGTCATGGCCACCAGAGTCTGTATATAACAAAGCCAAACAGACTCAAGCATATAATAAGAGAGTAAGTTCTGTTCGATTTCGGACTCCATAAAGATTATCTATGGAGAGAATATATGTCTTTAACACCTATATCTATCTAAATTTCTATAAATTTGTAAAGTTAAACATGTGAAACTAAATGATGTTTGTCGAATTTTGTTTGTATTCTCATCTTTATTGATAGTATCTAAGAAATGCTAAGAGGAATGTGTTTTTACCGGGTTATTAGCCGTAACCCCTATTAGAGATTGATGAGAGATTAGATGGGAAGAATTATATTTACTCTCATAATGATAAAGGTTATAATACATGNGTTTATATAGAGAANAGACTATTAANCATAATTAACATAGTTTCCTAATTTACACAAATACATAAATGATATAATTATTAGAAATATATTCACAATATCTTCTTTGATCATATGGATCTTCTAGATCCTTCTATAACCCCCACCGTCAACGAGGTGAAACTTAGACTTCTTGCCTTGACTATCTTCATTTGAAAAGTAACGAGGAGGAAAGAAAGTAGGAGCAGCCGATGTGCCAATACATATGTCTGATAACTTGACATCCAAGCTAGGGTCAACAGGTATCTTCACCAACACGTTACATATTACTGTTAGATTGATCAAGAAATTATGAAACAATAACTTGAAATTTTAGTCTGTGATGGAGAGGAACCTGGTAAGAGGAGAAGATGGTGGGTTGAAGTTTGTTAGTGTCTGATGAAGTTTTGTCTCTCCAAGAAGCTTAGTAGATTTCTTAGATATTTTCCGTTGTATTTTGGACCAAACAAGAGCTTTGGAAGCTTAGGTAACCGAGCAAACAAGCCTCTGCAATGTCATATTTATATGGCAACTGTTAATTAACAAAAGGAAAGAGAACAGATATATTATAATGCCCACTTAAAATCTTGAACTACAACGGATAAAAACAGTAATCTTAAATGAGAAACTCCTTTCTGACCGCCAAAAGAAAGTTTCAATAGATTTCTTACTTTAAAAAAAAAAAATTATAAATAAAATAATGCATTTATTTTAAAATGTAACTAGTTTTTTAATAAAAGAATTCAAATATTTATTTTATAAGTTTTAATTAC